GTGATTGTGCATCCTGTGGCCAGTTTCCCTCCTGCTTCTAAGAGTCTGCTCCCTGCCAGGAAGCCCCTCCCCCTAGGAATGTGAATAAACCATTTCCTCCATTCTCCCAGCTCCAGAGGATTCCCTGTGTGGGATTCTTTAATTTCTTGTGTCTGAATTTCATTGGCATACCCCTTCTCAAGCTGACCCACCCTTGGCTGCCACAGAAGTGTGCTTCCCACCCTCAGTCTCTAGTCAGGGTGAGTCCCACATAGCTAGAAGTTCCTGGTTTGTAAAAACAGTGTGCATTCAGTTTCTTGTAGCCAATCCTGTAGGCTTAGCTTATTAAAGATGATAATTAACCCATTGCTAATTGACCTCAGAAGCCAGCCAAGCAGCCTGTATTTTACCAGCTTTGGTGGTAGATTTGGAGTCTATTTTAAGGTTTCTTAATCTCAGCAAGACTTCACTTTTCCTGTCTGCATCTTATTTGCTCTAAGGACATTTTGTAAAATTAACAAGCTATAAAACTTGATTGAAGGTTTCAACAAATGTGAGAATAATTGGCTCCATTTAAAGAAACAGGAAAAACAACCTGTAAACTTGAGTTTGCAGGGGGAAAACCCATGTGATTTTTTTTTTTTTCTTTCTCTTTAACCAGAGGAGCAGTGGCAAGCTGGACTTTTAAGGGGAGGGCAGGAACGACGGGACTGGCTGTGGTGCAAGTTCTGATTCCCCTAAACCAAAAGTTAGTGAAAGAAATGTTGCAAAGTAACTAGCTGTTATGGTGCAGTGAGCCTCTTGTTCAAGAGTTTGCTACAGAGGCCTGTCAGCATTCCAACCCTTCCTCCTATTTCCTGCCTAGTCCAGGTTTTCTCTCTTCCCCAAGGCTGCTGTGAGGTGTTGCATCTTGGAACTCAGCTTACTGTCAGTATGTGATGCCTGGTGCTTGGTTCCCTTTCTCTATTGCTGTCCCTCACCTTCCATAAAGTAGCACCAATTCCTTTTCTGTTTCTGTGTGGACTTCTGCTCAGTTTTCACCATTCTTGCTTGTCCACCTCCCCATGTAAGATACCCCAAATGGTAGACCAAGCTTCTCCTATGTCAATCTAGAGGTTTCTTCTGCTTTTCCCAGGACCTGCCCCTTAGCCCCTGCCTGCCTCATTACCTGCTCACGGTATCTCTCTCTAAGGAACTGAGCCTGGGTCAGAACAGACACTGATATCACCGCTCCACATCAAGCTTTCAGTTTTCCTTTTTGCATGGTTGTGTGTGTGTGTGTGTGTGTGTGTACCTGATGGGGTGATAGATAGCTAGAGCCTTGAAGCTTAGGGTTTCAGTTCCTGCTGCTGATGGGGAGCCACTTCAGACAACCTTCAAGGAGATAGAAAGGGGCTTTCTTAAGGTGCTTTTCTTTCAGCTCTTCCCTGACCTAACCCGTTTTCTGTTCAAAGCAGGAATGATTCATGTGAGATATTTTGTCCATTAACTCTGGAGTTCTTGGTAGTCAGCCACAAAGTAAGTCTTCCTCTTAGAAGGGCAAGGGCTGTCACCAAGAAGGTACACTGAGAAGGTTCCCATGGCATTCTTAGTCTAACAGTCCTTTACTCACTTTTAGCCCCAGTCCACCCCTATTGTCACAACCCAGATGAACTCTGTCCTACCCAGATTTCTCCTAGAAAAATGTAGTTTACCCAAATAGCAATGGACATACCACTTACATCCTCTGCTTTTCATTGATACAAAATGGAAAGATGTGCTCATGAAAGGAGTTCCTGTGGGAATTACATCATAGACTTCATCGGTACTCCCTCCTCCAAGCAGAGAACCTATAACCCCTTTAACCTTTAACCTCTCTCCTGTCAGAAACTTCATTGCCGAGCAGAGATCATTGAAGTTTGCTTTTTAAAGCAAATTGTTTGAAAGGTTTTCTCCATCTTGATATGTCTCTTAACATATTAAACTTTTTTGTTGTTTGTGTCCCTTTCTGACTCAACTACTAGAGCCCTTTGTATTGGGGACTATTCAACCAGAGCCTCCAATAGAACTCCAGGGTCAAGAGGGCTGTGTTTCTGTCTCCACCAGACTTATTCCTCCCACCCTATGGCAAATGCTCTTATAACCAGCCCAGCAGGCTGGAAATAGGTTTCCCTGTATCTTTGGCAAGCCCTAGACATTCTGCTTGTCATCTGCCCAGTTTACTAAAGAGCTTGAATACATTTCTCACTGCCACACTGTACTTAGAAACCTAAGAATAGTGTGTCCAACTTTATTCAACCCTGTTGGTTGAATTACAGTGAAGAGAAAATACTCTTCCAAAACATGGATGAATTGTCTCTGTATAAACAAGTAGAATCCTATTTGGACCTCTTCACTCCAACATAGATACCCCAATGGAGCAGAGCTCTTTTAGCAGTCACAGTAGTGTCATTGCCCTTAAGGGCAAGGATGAATGACCATAGCAGACAAAACTCCCAGGGAAACTAGGTTCATTCTAAAAGGCATGGAAATGAAAACTGGGACAGGGTGGGAGTTCCTTTTTGCTTGTCTTTCTTCATGATAGTTCCCACTGAACCTCTAAGGATGTGTTGCTGGCAGGCTCAGGATGTCTGCACCCCAGGCTCCTGCTGTGCCCTGGAAATCCCCATCTCCAGGAGTCCCACGTCCACACATGTGGCCTTTCTCCCTCTTGGCCTGGCATGCCACTTGCTTCCTGAGCCATGTACCCACCCAGGGCCTGCCTTAATGACAAAGGTGTTCCTTCCCACTTGCCTGAGCATAAGACACTGTCTCCTCCTGGGCAGGTTTCTGCTACACATTGAACAGGGGCTTCTATAACCTTTTCATCATCCAGGTGAACCAGGGACCATTGTAAACTCCTCTCTCCTCTCTTCACTCCCTTACCTCCTCCACCTCATTCAGTGGCAGCAGTCTCATGCCAGAAAGGAAAGTCCTGGATCCATTACATAATTCTCCATAGTGCAAGCAGTAGCTGGGGCATAAGGTCAGAGGTCATAATGGGGTCAGGTGGCTGACACACACTGTAACGACAAGGTGGTTAAAATTAGACCACAGAGAGGAAACTGGCAGTCTTGTGGAAATGCAGAAGTTTCCTCTGCAAGTGAGAGGCTGGGGATGCAGGGCGGCCCCTGTGCGTGCTGCCTGCCAGGCTGTTACTCATTTCAGCTTTGGTCTTTCATGCCTTCTAGCCCCTGCTTCTGTATTTGTAGCCTTCCTCATCACATGTTTGAATATACAAGATGGAACCATGGTTACCTGCCCTGGCCCAAGGCAGGACCTTCAGGGAGGAATCTAGAATCAGGCCCCTTAAGCTCCAGAGGCTCTAAGCCTCTCCAGGGAACCCTCTTAAATGGAGGTGGTCAGATACTTAGCCTAATACCCTATCCTATGGTGGCAATAGCTATAGGTGAGTGGCATCTGGGCAGGGAAGAAGATGGCAGAGGATGAAGTTGTGGCACAGATGACTAGTGGGCAAGCAATCTCTCTGGCCAGCCACATGCCACAGTTCCACCTTGTGTTGGAAGACATGGATCATCCTGTGTCATCTGTTCCTGTGGTCTCCAGTGAGTTTCTCTGTGCCTGCCAGTCTTTTCCCATGAGCTTGTTGTGTGCCCACTTTATTCTCATAGCATCCTGCCAGAGAAACATCTTTGGCACTAGAGGACTTCTTCTGAATGGAGGAGCTGGCATGTGCACAGTGAAATGATGAGCCGAGACTGTCCAATCTCCACAACAGTCCTTCACCTGTCCTTTCACATTCAAAAATGAGGTTAAAAATGGGTCTTGGGGTGGGTGGGACTGGAGATTTGACTCATCAGGTAGAGCACTGTCTGCTCTTCCAGAGGACCCGTGTACCCAGCACCTACATGGCAGCTCACAACCATCTGTAACTCCAGTTGCAGGGGATCTGATCTAGACTACCTTCTAGATCCCTTGGGTACCAGTCATGTATGTGTTGTACAAACATAAATGCAGGTAGAACACCCAAGCACATAAAATAAAATTTTAAAGGGTGTCTCTGTTGTGTGCTGTGCCCTGGAATCACTGATGGTAAAAGGGCTGCCCTCTGTGTGGTATCTGTCGATTATGGTGTAAAAATAGCACTCTGCCACTTAGATGTACATTGAGCCAGGGACCTCTTTGGTGATGAACATCTATCTAGTCAATAGGCAAGAACAGGACCCCAGAAGTCAGAGTCTCAGAGAAGGGGGGCACCAGATAGCCAGAAGGACGACACTGCAGGCAACACAGGTACAGAGAGAGGTGAAGACATGCACAAGTGGCCTTGCAGTCCAGGTGCGTGTGGACACTTCTTCATCGGAGACCTTTACAAAGGTGACAGTTGCTCAGGGTAACGACCACGGCTCCTCTAACAGCACTGTCATATGTGCTGCTGTAGCAACATGGGAGCAACTCATGAACTCTGGAGAGCAGAGGTTTGGTGAACTCACCTACTCTACCCAACCTCCTCTTGATAATTCCCTGCCCAGTTCTCAGATGAGGCAGGTTCCATCCAGGTGAGTTCAGAATGACTTGGCTAAGATGAAACAGCCAAGAAAACTTATCTTTCAGTCTGCAAGTTGTCCTGGAGAGTATCTGGAGATGGGCACCAGGGGTGCTAGAAAGCCATGTTCTATGACAGCCAACCCGCAGCAATCCAACTGCTGTTACAAACTTAGAAGAAATTATTTTGTGTTTGTTGTTTTTTTCATAACAGGACTTTAGTAAAAGAAAAGCACAAGCCCTGAAGGCACCTGGCATTGGTCTTGAGGTTGTCTGCTGCCCTAGGGGTGACCTAAGTAAAGCCCTGGTGACTTCCTTCCTTCAGAAGACCTTGGTCCTTGCTTGCCTCCATACACACGCACACTCTTGTTGCTCATACTACTCCCTCCCCAGTAACTTTGACACAATTCTCATGTGCCCTGCAGCTAACATTGCCTCTCATCTTCATCCTCCCTCTCAGAAAATGCTGTTTTTCTTCTCTCCCTCTCGCCCTGTAGGTTATTGCAGCTGACTGCAAAAGGGTCACAGTGCTGAAGTATTTTCTGGAAGCCCTTTGTGGACAAGAAGAGCCTCTGCTGGCATTCAAGGGTGGAAAATATGTGTCAGTGGCACCCGTCCCAGACACCATGGGAAAGGAAATGGGAAGCCAAGAGGGAAAACAACTGGAAGATGAGGTACTATGCGGGAAGAGCCCGCTATGACAGAGAGAAGGCTCCCCTTCCCCCATGCCCTGATGCCCAGGCTGGAGCTTCTCCTTGGGTTATTTATAGCCTCTTAGTTCAGTGTCTGTTGATATGACAGCCGACTTCTCAAGAGTGCACTCTGCTGGTGCCCCTTCCTGCCAGTTCACCCCAATGCCTTCATCTACGAGTTCCAGATGCTTCTTTTTAATGTTGCATTGGAGGAAAGAGTTTAATAATGTTCAGCTCTAGAGGCTTAGGAAAGGCAGTAGAGAGAGAGGGGTGTTAGGGTTCAGGCTGAGGATCAAGTTTATAGATGTGCGGAGCTCAGCACAGCACAGGCCTGAACTCCAGCCTCAGGCTCACGTACAGGAAGAGCTGACATTGCTGGCCCTGTATGGAAAATCACCCCTCACTACCCCCCCTGCTGCCTGCTCTCCCTCTCTTACTCCCTCCCTCCCTCCCTCCTGCACATCCTGATGTGATTAAGGAATTCTCCTCTTGTTTGTTTGCCCTTGGTTTTTCCTGTGGCCCTTGCTTCACTCCAGACTCGTGTGTGTCTGTCTGTCTGTCTGTGTATGTATGTATGTACACACTATGCATGTACACGCGTTTGTATCCCTGCAGGCCTCCTTGGCAGTTGCCCTAGTTTGTATGTATGTCTTTCTGGAGATGAGCTTTGATGGTCATCTGCATGTGCCCAGTTTGTGTGTCAGTTTAAATGAACATTGCTGCCAGCTCTCCTGCGGTCTGTGGGTTCTGAGTAAATGTGACTGTGTGGTAGAAATGGAGCATGTGTGCATTTAGTGTCACTGTCAGCCTCCTTGCTGTTTGTCTGGGTGTGGGTACTCTTGTCTGGGTACATATACACATCTCACTTTTGCCTGAAGGTTGGCTCTTTCCTTCTTTTTACCCCATAGTATTAAAGGCAGGGGCCTTAGGTAGAAAGGAACATGGGATGGAGGGAAGGGACGGAAGCAATTCTCGCCAGAGGCCAGGTCACCCATAGGCCAACACAGTCATTTGGCCCGCAGCAGTCTCAAGCGCCCGGTGGAGCAGGGCGGGGTACAGGGATGAAATCAGCAACAGGCCAAGGAAGCCAGATGTCAGCTGGAAGCTGTCGTTTAGGATCTCAGGCAGTGATAGAGTGGCCACCTTTGGAACAGAGTCTTCAGAGAAGCAGTCTTGGCCTGACTTCATTAGGATAGCTGGAGAACTCCACCCCATGCCTGATGACACAGGGCTCAGCTTCCAGGACAGAGGTGGTTCCAGGGCTGTAGCTAAGCCCACGATTCCAGACTCTCCAGATGAAACCTGGGAAGGGAATACAGGAAAGAATGAGCTGTCAGCATGGGAGGAGAGAGTGGAGTTGCCAAAGCCATTGGAGTGTCCAAACCTTAGCAGGCGGAACAGTGCCCCTGCAGCCCTGGACACAGGGTGGGAAACATAGGGCCATGGTGCCAGTACCTCTTTCCTTTATATCACCTGCACTGGAAGGCTAAAGTAGGAAGTGGAGGTTGAGCAAAGCCAGATCTTCAGCATGACTGTAAGATGTCTCTGAACAGTAGAACTGGCAACACAAGCCTAGCTAGGCAAAGAGGCACCCTAGAACGAAGGATCAGGCTACCTCTGGTGCCAGATCTAGTTGTGCCACACTGCTCTCCTGAGACTCGGTGACCAGGCAAAGGTTCGTGACCCATACCAGTCTGCCCACTTCTTCCTTTTCCCACGAACCTCCTGGGTTCCTTTATGTCAGTGGTCCCTGGGAAACCCTACTTACCCTATTCTGTGTAATTTCATAACCCTGCACTTCCTCGTTTGCTATGAGAGCTAAGCAAACCTCAGACAAGCTTCTGTGACCCTCCTTTGACCTCAGTCCTGTTCACTCTAAACCAGTGCTAACTGTCCATCCCTGGTCAGAGCAGGCAAGGATACTCTTCCTCTGTGGGCCATCAGGCATCTTGTTGCACTTGCTCCTGTCCAGGTTAAACCTGTGAGCAAAGAGATGGATGTGAGGTCTCCCTTCCCATGGTATTGACAAATAAATAATGCCTGTGGACAGTGCCCTTGACCCACCCCCCTCAGCTCTCTCAGGACAATGATAGATTCTATCCTTAGCTCCCATCTCAGCATACTGCAGTCTAGCTATGGAAGAGGTGTGTGGTGGCGATGGGGTGTCCTTGGACATCTTTCTTTGTAACAGGACAATTTGTAGTTCTTAGGGCTACTGCCAAATCACCATCTTCCCTAGATCCCCTTCTCATCACCGTACCTACGCTTATTAACTACTTTTCACCAAGAGAATCCCAGTCTGCCTTAATAGGTCCAGGCCTGACAAAGCTCAGTCATTAAATTAAGAGCTGGATCTGAGCTTGCTCTCTTGATTCAGAACCTGCCCTGCAGGCTGTTCGTTATGATTGGTAAGGGCAGATGGGGGTCAGACTCACTTGAATTTTAATCCTGCCCTGCTTCCTGCCACTTTTATGACTCTGAGCAGGCTGTTTCATTCTAAACATCCCCATTTATTAACAATGGATGGCCCAACAGTGATGCTGCACAACTTTAATCTCAGCACTCGGGAGGCAGAGGTAGGTGGATCTCTGTGAGTTCTTGGCCAGCCTGGTCTACAGAGCTAGTTCTAGGACAGCCAGAGCTACACAGAGAAACCCTGTCTTGAAAAACCAAAAATAAGAAATAAATAAAGCACAGATGTTAATAGCTATGTGCAATTATGAGAATTAAGAGTTAATGTATGAAAAACATAGCCCTGTATACAACCCATTAAAAAGCACTGAGTAGCTAAGCTGTCAGTGTAGTCATCAATATCATCCTGTTAGAATTACAGGAATCTTCCTTCTGTTGAATCACCCCCCATGTTTCCCTACTAGCCCCATTCCTCAAAGGAAGCTCTCTTGGGCAGCTGTATGTTCTCTCCTGACCAAGGCCAAAAGTAAGAGAGTGAGGAATGGAGCTAGGACCACCCTGGGAGCAGTGGCTGCTGAGACTTGAGGCTGCAAGTGAGGAAGTGCCATCCCTGGGGAGGGCTGCATCAGCCTGGCAAGGAGGCTCCTTAAGCTAGCCAGCCACCTCCTCCTTACTCTGCCTAGGCCCTTGGAGGGCAGCTAAGCAAGGCTATGTTATGTGAGTTTTTTTAATGGGGCCCAGAAGTCCCCACATCACCAGGCTGTGGCCTTAAAAAGAAATCAGGGCGAGGTCTATAGAGCTGCAGCATCTGCTCTTGATGCTGTCTGGGGCAGGGGAGCTTCATTGCTTAGCTCCCAGATGTTGGCCAGAGTTGATTCCTATCAGATTATTAATACAAATTAGATTTAAATTGGGCAGTTGAGCTTTCTCTATCGTTTACCCTTTGGATCATTTATACTTTCAAAATGAAAACAGGTCCAAAGTTTGTGTTTGAGTGTGTACAGGAGAACAAAGGAGTGTGAGCACAAGCATGCAAGTAAGCATATGTGATTATGAGTGTCATGGGTGTGAGTGTGTAAGAAAAAGCTCTAGGATGTAAGGACACAGTGACAGCTCCTGCCAGCACATTCCAGGGAACCCTTGGCAAGGAGTACTCCCCCATCAGCATAGGGTGGGGTGGGGGGCTAAAGGAAGAGAGTGCACCCACTAAGTACCATGGTTCACTATCTCCTCTTAACCTCTGTCTGTGTCTGTACCCCAAGGAAGAAGATGTGGTGATTGAAGACTTTGAGGAAGATTCAGAGGCTGAAGGCAGTGGGGGCGAGGATGATATCAGGGAACTTCGGGCCAAGAAGCTGGCTCTAGCAAGGAAGATAGCTGAGCAGCAGCGTCGCCAGGAAAAGATCCAGGTAAAGCCTAACTGGAGAAGCTGATTGCCATTGAGGGTGTGGCTATACAAACCCTGAAGTGACGTGAGCAGGGAGTGGCAGGGCATCTGTTGTTATACTCCACCTTGCACTCAAACTCTGCATCCTCCTTGTGAGTTCTAAGGCAGAATCTTCTCAATATTGATGAGCACCACTTTTCCTGTGAGACTCTGTCAGCACCACACATACAGTCTTTCATGGGACTTAAGGGACTCAGAGTTCTCTTTCCCCATATGTAGATATTCATGGAGGGCACTCTTTTTTTGTGGGATTAGGTTGCCATAGCCACAGGCTACTTACCTGGGTTCCCAAAGTAATGGGAGAGCCCCATTTGGACAGATTACTTTTCACATACTCCTAGGGAGAAGTTACCTAATCTACATTCAGGGGTTACCCCACTGCCAGCCTCCTGGAAGCCCGAACCTTCATTTCTAGCAAGTTTTTCTCTATGGTTTTCGCAGATCTGTCTCCTTTTACTGACTACTTACTTTTCCAAGCAAGTTGTGCTCCTTTAATAGACTTCGTACCTCCTTGCCTCTCTAAGCATGTGTCTTTTTTGGTTTTTCGAGACAGGGATTCTCTGTCTAACAGCTCTGGCTGTCCTGGAACTTCACCAAAAAAAGGATGGAAGGAAATGGAAGGGAAGGAGGGAGGGAGGGAGGGAGGAAGGAAGGAAGGAAGGAAGGAAGGAAGGAAGGAAGGAAGGAAGGAAGCCTCCAAAACTTAGTCCCCATTATTGTTAACTTCTGTATAGCTTTGGGTCCATAAGCCTCTTTCCTCCAGCTTCCTGTTAACGCATTGAATGTACTGTTGTCTTCTCTGCTAGTCAGAACTACTTTCCCAGGCTTCCTCTGCCATTTTTTTTTTAACTTGACCATCCTTTCTATTGTTAACTCTAGCAAGCTGAATTGGTATTTACCAGAAATTTTTGGTTGACTTCATTGATGGTAGCAAGTAGAACATCATTTTAAATTCTACCATGACCTTTTACCCCTGCTATCCAATTTCTTATCATATCCTGTCCATTCACCCCTCCTCTCCCTCTTAGGTCCATTGCTACTGCTACCCTAGTTCAGGGACTTGTTGAACTATAGCAACTAGGGCCCTGCATTGTGTAGTTCCATAGGGTGCCACTGACTTTATAATCTGTGAATGGCTCCTCTTGGACTTATATAGTACTCAGTCTGGCAACCAGGCTCCAGCCACACCATGAGCTCAGTTCTTTCCCCATAGAGCCATTCCCCTGCTCAGAAATCATCAGTGCCTTTGCTTGGCTAGTGAAATAAAGTTTAATTCCTTCTAATGACATTTTAGGCTTCCAGTCTGCTCCCAGTGTGTTTTTTCTACTTTATTTCCCATTAACACACTCCCCATGAGCCGTTGTTAGCTATTAGACACTGGGCAAAGAGATTGACTTCTCTGAACCTGTTTCTGAATCTGTAAAATGAACTTGACACAGTACCTGCCTCATAGTTGCCAGACTTCTTGGGATGAACAATAGTGTGTAAAAAGTACCTGTCTGGGCATTAAGACTCCTGCCCAGATAGCGATACTAACCTTCCTCTCTGATCACTCCCTACACCCACCCTGCCCTTTCCCACTTTTAGATATTTGTTGAGTCTGTCTCTCAATCCAAAGGGCTCTTTTTCTGTTCTACATTTCCTGTGACCTGTTGAAATTCTACTGTCCCTGCATTTCCCAATGAAACTCCTCCCCAGTGAAGCCTTCCCTGATCTTCCCCAGGAGGAATTGGTCTCTATGCTCTCGGGTTCCTGCAGTGTTGATTTATACTTCATTTGTGGGACTGCTATCATGTCTCATATTACAGTTATTTGTGGGCCTTTCCCCCCACTGTACTATGAATTCCTAGGAATCAGAGAGCATGTGCTCGGCTTATTGAGCATCGAATGTCCTGATGGCTGGGGTGCACAAAAGTGGGGGCAGGGAAGACATTTCAGAGTAGACCATGCAGTAGAGAAGCTATTCTTTTGGTTTTTGGAGACAGGATTTCTCTGTATAACCCTGGCTGTCCTGGAACTCACACGGTAAACCAGACTGGCCTCGAATTCAGGAGATCTACCTGCCTTTGCCTCCTGAGAGTTGGGATTAAAGGTATGTGCCACCACAGCCCTGGGAGAAGCTATTATTTAAATAAGTGATTTGGCTTGTGAGTGAGGTCTTTTAAAAGATCAAGTATTGGGGTCTGGAGGGATGCTCTTCCAGAGGACCTGAATTCAATTCCCAGCAACCATATGACAGCTCACAACCATCTATAATGGGGTTTGATGCCCTCTTCTGGCCTTCAGGCATACATGCAAATAAAGCACTCATACATATATAAATAAAAATTTTTTTAGAAAAGATCAAGTATTAACTGAGTGTGGTGGCTCATGCCTTTAATCCCAGGACTCAGGAGGCAGAGGCAGGCAGATCTCTGTAAGTTCAAGACCAGTCTGCAAAGCAAATTCCAAGACAGCCGGAGCTACATAGTGAGACTTTGTCTCAAAAAATGAGCAAACAAAAAGGATCAAGTACAGGGCTGGCAAGATGACTTAGCAGGTAAAGGCATTTGCCACCAAACATCATAATCTGAGTTCAGCTCCCATGTGGTAGGAGAGAACTGGTACATGTAACTACTCCCTCCACTGCATTAAATTAACGAATAGGAAATTGTTTTTGAAGATCAGGTACAAATAAGCCAGGGTAGTAACTTCATGTATTGATGCTCAAGAGGCTTAGACAGGAAGATTACAAGTTCAAGGTCAGAGCTGGACTCTACAGTGAGCCTGAAGTGTGCAGGTTGGGCTACATGGTGAGGCCCTCCTGAAAGGGAGGAAGATGCTGTGATAACACGCGCTGTAGCGACTCCAAGTTTGGCTAGAGTACACTTGTCTGGTTGGCCATGCAAGCAATACGCAGTCCTAATAATTGGAGATCTAATATAAAACCTAACTTCCAGGGCCACTGATTGTGTCCCACAGTTCTGTTCAGAGGAGGTTGCATTGGCCCCTTTAAGAACAGGCCCCACATGTACTGCTGCTGGCGGCCCTGCCTCTTGTCAGCCTCCTTCCTCCAGCCCCATAGCCACAGGAGGATTTCTCAGCAGAGGAAAAATTCCCCCTTTTACCTCCCCCTTCTCTTTAATGCCCGGGGCCCTTCACTTCCATAATTCTTCATTTTCCAGCCTTGAACGTAAGCCAGACACATCTGTCTGGCCATATGCGTGAACCCTGGAGTCTGTGCCGAGGTAGCTGTAAAACAGGGCCGGTGAAGGCCCTTCTGGGAGAGCACACACATGTGTGTGCCCTCAGGCCATTGGCTCTCTGCCCAGAACCACAGGGCCTCAGTGCTTCAAACCCATGTTAACCTTCTCTATTTTTCCTCTTTTTGTTTAATTTAAGGGGGAAAATCCCAAGGAAAAGGTATAAATTGTCCTGGGAGTAGGGGAGAGTCTCCTAGCTAAAGAGACCATTATTGTTGGCAGGTACCTTGGTCACACTAATACAATAAGGAAGAAAGAAGCATCCAGTGAATTAAGATCGGAGAGATGGGCTGTAAATTACACTGCTCTGAACTCCATCAGTCTCCAGGGTGTTAACCGAGAGGTGTAAGGCAGGTCCCCAGCTCCCAGTGCCTTTTACAGATGCAGCAAAACAGGAACCACACATGTTTGGGGAAGGGGATATGAAGATGGGGTTGAACAAAAGCCCCCTCACCCCAGGATGGCTATAAAGTCCAAGTGTGATCTGGGGCTGTAGCCCACACCTCCACTTCCCTGCTCCCACATAGACCCTTGGGCCTCGAGCTCATCTGTGGAGATGGGGGAGGTGAGGCCTGGCCCCCTTCTGCAGCCTGTCCCTCCCTGCTTCCGGCACTGCAAAGAGGCTGGTGAGTGGGGCCGATTAGAGGTCAGAAAAGGGGTGTGGGGAGCTCTCAGGGCTGTGCAGCTGGAGCTACAGAGCCCAGGCAGGCCCTTAGATATTGAGGGGTGCCAAGTCCACCCACCCAGGGCTTTGAGACCACACGCTCTGGCTTAGCCCAGGCTTTGCCTTGTTGCCTATGGTCGTGCTACCTACTGTACTAATCCTGTCTACCTCACTGCTTTCTATCTGTGTTTTTATTTGTACTTTCATTCTTGGGAGATGTCTAGAGTCCTTAGCAAGGTACATGGTTGGTCTGAGAAGTTGGTCAGAAGGTTTTCATTCTTAACCAGGCGTGCAGGGCCAAGAAGTCACTGAAAATCCTCCTCCAGGCATGAGGCATGGCCTATTGGCACCTCATACTGTCCTGGCCCTGTGAATCTCCTGCATTCTCTCCTGATTCCATGAGGCTCTCCTGTGATTTGTGCTGCTGTTGGGCGGGGTCAAGTTTCCTGAGCAGTTGCAAACATCCCACCTGAAACATAACAGGCTCTTCCTCTGGCCACAGCTATTGTTTCCCTCTGCATTATGGCCACAGTCTTGCTCTGTAGCCAGCAATGACCTGTGTTCTGAAAATAGCTTCACTCGCCTGTCCCCTTCCCGCCCACCCACCCTCCTGAAGATGCAGTCACTTCTTTGTGGTAGCCCCAGGAGTTTCACTCTAAATATAGCCACAGTCCATTCATACTGCCACCCAGCCAGTGGAGGGGGGGTGGCACTGTGGAACAATGGGGTATGCACAGAGCACTCCCCACCCACACATACACCTGTATGGAAGCTAGCGGAAGGCAGACACTCAGCCCTGGCTCCTAGCTGTCGGAGACAGTGTGGGAGCCAATATACTACCAGTCCAGGGACACGTTCACCCCTAGGCAGGAAAGCACATCAGTCTGCAGAGCTGGGCACCACCCAGGCCTACTTCAGCCTCTGTGCATAACATGGTGCTGGACCACCAGCAGCTCCAGCTGCTGCCACCTCATTGGCTACAAAACATCTACATCTTCCTCCAGAATGCCAGAATGGCCAAGCCTTTGACTGAAACACCTTTAGACTGATGCTTAT